TGTATTTACCAACTGCCATTCACAGAGTGAGACCACAGAGAGCGCTGTATTCACCAAATGCCATTCACAGAGGGAGGTCACAGAGACTGCTATATTCACCAACTGCCATTCACAAAGTGAGTTCACAGAGAGTGCTGTATTCACCAACTGCCATTTATGGAGTGAGACGATAGAGAGCGCTGTATTCACCAACAGCCATTTATAGAATGATGTCACAGTGACTGCTATATTCACCAACTGCCATATACATAGTGAGCTCACAGAGAGTGCTGTATTCACCAACTGCCATTTGTAGAATTAGGTCACAGTGACTGCTATATTCACCAACTGCCATATACAGAGTGAGGTCACAGAGAATGCTGTACACAGACACCGTTGTATTCACTGTACAACATCAACTGCCTGAGAGGGAGAGTCTCTATATCAATCTAATACCTGGTTTTAAGCACTCATATACTCATGTATATATGTATATGTGATTATATATGTGTGTGTGTATATACACCCTGTTCCAAATTATTATGCAAATTCTATTTAAGTGTCACAAAGATTAAATATTTTGTTTTTCAGTTTAATTCATGGATGGCATTGTGTCTCAGGGCTCTTTTGATCACTGAAAACAATCTCGGACACCTGTGATAATTAGATTGCCAGGTGAGCCCAATTTAAGGAAAAACTACTACAGGAGGGTGTTCCACATTATTAAGCAGAGCACCATTTTCATGCAATATGGGGAAGAAAATGGATCTCTCTGCTGCCAAAAAGAGTGAAATAGTTCAATGCCTTGGACGAGGTATAAAAAAAAATTAGATATTTCACGAAAACTTAAGCATGATCATCGCACTATTAAGAGATATGTGGCTGATTCAGAGCACAGATGGGTTCGTGCAGATAAAGGCACATTGAGGAAGATTTCTGCCAGATCCATGCATCGGATCAAGAGAGCAGCTGCTAAAATACCATTACATAGCAGCAAACAGATATTTGAAGCTGCTGGTGCCTCTGGAGTCCCACGGACATCAATGTGTAGAGTCCTCCAGAGTCTTGCAACTGTGCATAAACCTTCTATTCGGCCACCACGAACCAATGCTCACAAGCAGAAACGGCTGCATTGGGCAGAAAAATACATGAAGACTAATTTTCAAACAGTCCTGTTCACTGATGAGTGCCGTGCAACCCTGAATGGTCCAGATGGATGGAGTAGTCGATGGTTGATGGACGGCCACCCTGTTCCAACAAGGCTGTAACGTCAGCAAGGCGGTGGTGGAGTCATGTTTTGGGCCGGAATCATGGGAAGAGAGCTGGTCAGCCCCTTTAGGGTCCCCAAAGGTGTAAAGATGACCTCTGCAAAGTATGTGGAGTTTCTGACTGACCACTTTCTTCCCTGGTACAGAAGGAAGAACTATGCTTTCCGTAATAAAATCATCTTCATGCATGACAATGCACCATCTCATGCTGCAAAGAATACCTCTGCATCAATGGCTGCTATGGGGATAAAAGGAGAGAAAGTCATGGTGTGGCCTCCATCCTCCCCTGTCTACAATCCTATTGAGAACCTTTGGAGCATCCTCAAGCAAAAGATCTATGAGGGTGGGAGGCAGTTTACATCCAAACAGCAGCTCTGGGAGGCTATTCTGACATCCTGTAAACAAATTTATGCAGAAACTGTCCAAAAACTCACAATTTCAATGGATGAAAGACTTGTGAAGCTGCTATCAAATAAGGGGTCCTATGTTAAAATGTAACGTGACCTGTTAAAATGTTTAAAAAGTTAAAATGTTGTTATAAGTTTGATTGAAATAGCTTTTGATTTCAGTAAATATGCTGCAAACACAACAAATGACAATTTCTTTACAACCTATAAAGTGTTTTTAAACTTACTGTGCTTAATAATTTGGAATAGTGCATTGTAAGTTTTTTATGTTTAAAAAAAATACTGTTATCAATAGGAGGTTTGCTTACTAAAATTTGAATTGTACTCTTAATAGTTGATAACATGAGAATTATGCTGACTGTTATTTGCATAAATTATTTAGGTAAATGAGAAAAATATAATTTGCATAATAATTTGGAAAATGGTGTATGTATATATATATATATAATCTTCATATCTTCAGATCAATAAAACATAACACATATTCACTTAATAATGTCCTCTCTTCTATTTTTCACTTTCATTCTAACTTCTCTCATCACTAAAATCTCTCTATCCTTCTGCTCATTGTCCCTGCGGACACCATCTTCATTGATTCCTCTTTACTTCCCTCTCCTCTCTATTCTCCCCATGTAATATACTTATACCTTTCTAGCCTATCTCCACCAGCTGTTTCTAAATCCTCTGAATAGAAACCCTCTCATAAAACATTTAAACCCTACTAATACCTTATCTTTCTTTCTATCCTTCTGCCCCTAGCAGCTGGTGATGTTTCTCCAAACCCCGGTCCTACCTCAGCAAACCCACCATGTACTAACTCAAGGAAACACACCAATCTCATATTGTTACTCTTCCTTTAAATCCTCCTTCCATATTGCCCTCTGGAATGCACGCTCTGTTTGCAATATTACCAAATCCACTGCTGTACACAAACTTTTCATCGCTCATTCCCTAGACTTACACGCCTTAACCGAAACATGGCTCTCGCCCTCTGACACAGCTACCCCTGCATCTTTATCCTTTGAAAGGTGTTCAATTTACCCACAACCCTAGACACTCTGAAAGTAAAGGTGGTGATGTAGGGTTTCTGCTCTCGCCTCACTACTCCTTCAAACCTTTACCTACCCCACCTTCCCTCTCTTTCTCCTCATTTGAAATTAATTTGATTCGCCTTTTCAAACCCATCTCTGCTAACATTGCTGTTATTTATTGGCCCACTGGTTCCCCTCGCCTCTTCCTTGACCACTTTGCTGCCTTGCTTCCCTTCTTCCTCTCCTCTAATATTCCATTTATAATTCGAGGGGACTTTAACATTCCAGTAAACCCACCCTTGATCTCAGTAGCCTCAAAACTACTACTTGGGCTATCGCAGTGGGCTAATTCTCCCACCCATGTAGCGGCAATACCCTTGATCTTATTTTCTCTTATGCATGTACAATCTTTAATCTCTGCAACACTCCATTTCCTCTCTCAGATCACCACCTCTTATTACTTGAGAACCCCTTCACGCAACAACCGCAGCCCAATCCTCCTCAACTCAGGAGGAACTTGAGTTCTGTTAACCTCCTGCAGCTGTCAGCTGATATTGATTCCCAACACTTATCGATCCCTACCTTCTCCTGTCAATCATTGGCTATTTCCTCATTTCACACTACCCTCACCTCTGCCCTGGATGCTGCAGCCCCGCTCCAAACATGCACCTCGTGGAGGACACGCCCCCAACCGTGTCACACTAAAATAACACGCTACCTGCAGAGATGTCCCCATTCTGCTAAATGCTGCTGGAGAAGTCTTGCACCCAGAAAGACTTTCTCCATTATAAATTAATCTTGCATTCATACAGCGCAGCCCTTGCGAAACAGTCATAGCTTTTCTCTCTCATTAGTTCATACTCCCACGATCCCAGACATCTCTTTCATACCTTTAACTATCTTCATGGCCCTGCTGTGGCCACCCTCCAAACTAACATTACAGTCGATAGCTTTGAATGCTACTTTACCAACAAGATTGAACAGCTAGGGAAAGAATTCTCCCCACTTTGCCCCTCTCTTTTTCTACCCTTCAGACTTTCTCCCAGGCTACTGAACAAGAAGTGGCTACACTTCTCTTTTCCTCTCGCCAGACCGTTTGCGCGCTTGATCATGTCTGGTCTCACTTTATCAGTTCTCTCTCCCCTTGTCTTGTGCCTTCCTTAACACACATCTTCAACTGCTCTCTCTCTTCTTGAATTGTCCTGCTGCCCTTAAACATTCTACTTTAGTACCCATCCTAAAAAAAAATCTCTTGACCAGTCCTCCTCTTCTAACAATTGTTCCATATTCTTGCTCTCTTTTTCCTCAAAGCTTTTGGAAAGACTTGTCTTTGCCCGTCTGGCTAACTTCCTCAATTCCAACTCTCTCTTTGACCCTCTTCCATCTGGCTTCTGCCCCCTCCACTCTACTGAGACTGCTCTTATTAAAGTTACTAACAACCTAATCGCAGCTAAATCCAAAGGCCACTACTCCAAATTAATTATTTTTGACCTCTTTGCTGTCTTTGACACTGTTAACCATGTTCTCCTTCTCCAAACTCTTTAATCACTCGGTCTCTGTGACACTGTCCTATCATGGATTTCTGCCTATCTCTCTTCATTGTCTCCTTCTCTGATGATACCTTCTCCCTTCGTCCTGTATAGGTTGGAGACCCCAAGGCTCCGTTCTTGGTCCCCTTCTATTTTCTATTTATACTTCCTCTCTTGGCAAACTTATTACCTCTTTTGGATTACAGTACCACCTGTACGCCGATGACATCCAGTGAGATGATATATATCTCCTCCTTGGTCCTCTCCCCTTCCATCCTGCAACGTGTCACTGCTTGCCTTTCTTCCATCTCTGATTAGATGTCCTCCCACTTTCTGAAACTCAATCTCTCTAAAAATTTCATTTTTGTCTTTCTTCCTCCTAATACTGATCCTTCTCTTTCACTTTCCCTTCAAGTTTGTGGCAACCACATTAGCCCATCCTTGCAAGGGCACTGTCTTGGCATTAGATTCTGGCCTCACATCCAGTCAGTTACCAAATCCTGTTGATTCCACCTTAAAAACATTGCCGCTACTAAGGAGATTGTTCATGCTCTAGTAATCTCTTGCATGGATTATTGTAACCCTCTTCTAATTTGTCTTCCCAGAGGCTGTATTGCCCCACTAAAGTCTGTAATGAATGCTGCCGCCTGACTGATTTTCCTCTCCCGCCGCTTCTCACACCTCATCCCTCTGTCAGTCCTTACATTGGCTTCCTGTATCCTATAGGAGTAAAATCAATGTACTAAGTCATACCTATAAAGCACTAAACAATTCTAGCCCCATTTATGTATCTTCACTGATCCATAGGTATGCCCCTTCTCTGTCTCTCCGCTCTGCCCATGACCTTCTCCTGTCCACTACTTGCACCCGTAAGTTTGCAAGACTACTTGCAACTCACGTTTGCAGGACTTCTCACTGGCGGCTCCGTTCCTTTGGAATAGACTGCCATCAGACTCTCCCCTAGTCATCAATCATTTAAGAAGTGCCTTAAAATCCATCTCTTTGGGAAAGCGTATGGCCTCCCAGAGTAAGCTCTATCTAACATACCTGTCCCTTGCTCTCTCCTAAAGGGCAGGACTCTACTCTCTCCTCCAGCTCTGCTTTACTTTCACCTTGCTTGATTGCTATCTCCTGTGCTACTGTGTTTTATACTTCATCTCCTTTAGACTGTAAGCTTGTTTGAACAGGGTCCTCTTCAACCTATTGTTCCTGTAAATGTTTGTAATTGTTTCAGTTATTGTTTTATAATATTGTAAAGCTCTACGGAATATGTTGGCGCTATGTAAATGCCAATAATAAATACATTTAAAATAGGTTTGCATGTTGAATTTTTGTTTACATAGGTAGTTGATTCTCATATATTTATTAAGTGAATCAGCTAATGATTTTTAACTTCTGTCCTCTCTGTGGCTCAGGGTAACAGAATAAGATAAATATTTCTTGTAACTTACAACTTGATATCCTTTGACAAATCACCATGTTAGCTATTCCTACATGTCTAAACAGGGCCCGTGCATGGATTTTTGGCTGCAGAGGTGTTAATGCATGGAGGAATAGAAAAAATATTCTCATAGATAAAAAACAAACATGTACACAGGCAGCTGCATCCTCACATTATTAGGAAAACGACAAGTATTCTTGATATGTGGGAAACAGGGAAATTAAGAAACCTGTTAAGACAATGTTAGAAATGGTAAATAATCCAGAGATATCTCAACTAACCTTGTGAAAAAGACCAATGGAAAGAACAAGAAAGATTATGAAAGGCAATTAAGCCCTTTGGTTGTAAGCAGATGTAGCCCCTTCACCTGTGAATCAAATCGGTAACAAATCCATCATACAAATTAGAACACTTAGAGTTCCGAGAACGTTTTCGTCTCAGGCAATGCCATAATGGCTAAGGAAATCATGTATAATCCATAAAAAGCTAAAGTCAGGAACCAGAGAATTAGGTGGGTGAGAGGTATGAAAGCTGTCACAAACAGAAATTTAGAGCACCGATCTGAAAGTAGAGCAATCTCTATAGAAAAATTGAAATGACCTTGATGATCCAAATGGTTTCCATGGTGACTGCTCCATATTTGAATTTGGCCCAGTTTTCTATTAGTAACCTTAATCTGCACCAACATGGATGTTACATAGTTACATTATGTAATATAGGCTGATACAGACTTATGTCCCAAGTTCAGCTTTTCACACATATCTGTGTTTGGTCTTAATTACATAAGCCTTTTATTGGTTCTGGTTGACCTAATACACACAATTAAAAGCTAATTTGGGAGTAGATACATATCTGATTGAATATTAATTTCCAGAAGATTGTAAATTAGCAAATGTTGTGCCAATTCACAAGAAAGATAGTTGGGAGGAGTCGGGCAACTATGGGCCAGTAAGCCTTACTTCAGTAGTGAGAAAAGCAAAGAAAACCATGTTAAAGGATAGGATTGCTGAACATTTAAAATCACATGGATTTCAAGATCAGAGACAACATGGGTTCAGGGAGATCATGCTAAACGAATCTTATTGATTTTTTTGATTGGATAACTAAAATAATAGATCAGGGTGGTGTAGTAGACATTGCTTACCTAGATCTCAGTAAGGCTTTTGACACTGTTGCAATCTTTAAGTTTGGATTCCAATATTGTAGAATTGGTAAGGCAGTGGCCGAGTGACAGGCAACAGAGGGTTGTAGTCAATGGAGTACATTCGAAGCATGGTCTTACCAGTGGGGTACCTCAGAGATCTGTACTTGGACCAGGGCTCGAGTCCTGCAGGAACGCATGGGAACGGCGTTCCTGCACTTTTTCCAAAGCAGGAACGCCGTTCCCGTTACCTGTCCTGCAGGACCGGCCCTGCTACCTGCACAGAGGGGCCAGCACACGCTGTGTTCCCTCTCCAGCTATAACTCTCGCGAGACCCGCGGCTGTTACCATGGCAACGCTCCGCACAGGCGAGTCTCGCGAGAGTTAGAGCTGGAGAGGGAACACAGCGTGTGATGGCCCCTCTGTGCAGCGGCTGGCTCCCTCCACCGGACCACCAGGCGATCTCCCCCCTCCCTGACAAGGTAAGAAGCAGGGAGGGAGGGATAAAATAAAAAATATACATAAAGTAAAAAAATGCTTCCCCCCCCACACATCATCCAGCACACACACACACACACACACCCATCATCCAGCACTCACACACAATCCAGCACTCACACACCCATCATCCAGCACTCACACACACACCCATCATCCAGCACTCACACACAATCCAGCACTCACACACAATCCAGCACTCACACACCCATCATCCAGCACTCACACACACACCCATCATCCAGCACTCACACACCCATCATCCAGCACACACACACCCATCATCCAGCACTCACACACCCATCAGCACACACACACCCATCATCCAGCACACACACACCCATCATCACAGCACTCACACACACATCATCCATCATCCAGCACACACACACCCATCATCCAGCACACACACACCCATCATCCAGCACTCACACACCCATCATCCAGCACTCACACACACCCATCATCCAGCACTCACACACACCATCATCCAGCACTCACACACACCCATCATCCAGCACTCACCAGCACCCATCATCCAGCACTCACACACACATCATCCAGCACTCACACACACACATCATCCAGCACACACACACACATCATCCCACACACACACCCATCATCCAGCACTCACACACACATCATCCAGCACACACACACATCATCCAACACTCACTCACACATCATCCAGCACTCACACACCCATCATCCAGCACTCACACACCCATCATCCAGCACACACACACCCATCATCCAGCACACCCATCATCCAGCACACCCATCATCCAGCACACACACACCCAACATCCAGCACACACACACCCATCATCCAGCACACACACACACACCCGTCATCCAGCACACACACACACACCCACCATCCAGCACACACACACCCATCATCCAGCACACACACACCCATCATCCAGCACTCACACACCCATCATCCAGCACACACACACCCATCATCCAGCACTCACACACCCATCATCCAGCACACACACACCCATCATCCAGCACTCACACACCCATCATCCAGCACACACACACCCATCATCCAGCACACACACACCCATCATCCAGCACACACACACCCATCATCCAGCACACACACACCCATCATCCAGCACACACACACCCATCATCCAGCACACACACACCCATCATCCAGCACACACACACCCACCATCCAGCACACACACACACATCATCCAGCACTCACACACACATCATCCAGCACTCACCCATCATCCAGCACTCACACACACCACACACACCCATCGTCCAGCACGCACACACACACATCATCCAGCACGCACACACACACCCATCATCTAGCACGCACACACACACCCATCATCCAGCACACACACGCACACACATCATCCAGCACGCACACACACATCATCCAGCACTCACACACACGTCATCCAGCGCGCACACACACATCATCCAGCACACGCACACACTGCATTCATTATACACACTCTTCACTCACTACAAACACACTACATTCACTATACACCCTCTGCATTCACTATACACCCTTTGCATTCACTATACACACTCTGCATTCATTATGCACATTCTGCACTAACTACACACTACATTCACTATACACACTCTACATTCACTACAAACACACTACATACACTGCATTCATTGTACACACTCTGCACTCACTACAAACACACTAAATTCACTATACACACTGCACTCACTACAAATACACTACATTTATTATACACACTGCACTCACTACAAATACACTACATTTATTATACACACTGCACTCACTACAAATACACTACATTCATTATACACACTCTGCACTCACTAAAAACACACTGCATTCATTATACACACTCTGCACTCACTACAAATACGCTACAATTATTATTCACACTGCATTCACTACAAACACACTACATTCATTATACACGCACTGCACTATATGCATAGGAGTGTAATTTTTTTTAATTTTATTTTTAAGGGGGAGAGACGGGTATCTTGGGTGAGTTCCCACACTTTTTTCCCCAGGACTTGACCCCTGACTTGGACCCATTCTCTTACCTATTTTCATTAGTGATATTGCAGAAGGTCTTGATGGTAAGGTATGTCTTTTTGCTGATGATAAAAAGATTTACAACAAGGTTGATGTTTCAGGAGGGAAAGCCAAATAAGCCAAATGGCAATTGATTTAGGTAAACTAGAAAACTAAAACTAAAAAGAAACAGCTGTGGCAACTGACATTTAATGTGGATAAGTGCAAGATAATGTATCTTGGGTGTAAAAACCCAAGAGCAGAGTACAGAATATTTGATACAGCCCTAACCTCAACATCTGAGGAAAGGGATTTAGGGGTGATTATTTCTGATGACTTAAAGGTAGGCAGACAATGTAATAGAGCAGCAGGAAATGCTAGCAGAATGCTTGGTTATATAGGGAGAGGTATTAGCAGTAGAAAGAGGGAAGTGTTCATGCCATTGTAGAGAACACGGGTGAGACCTCACTTGGAGTATTGTACACAGTACTGGGGACCGTATCTCCAGAAGGATATTGATACTTTAGAGAGAGTTCAGAGAAGGGCTACTAAACTGGTTCATGGATTGCGGGATAAAACTTACCAGGAAAGGTTAAAGGATCTTAACATGTATAGCTTGGAGGAAAGACGAGACAGGGGGGGATATGATAGAAACATTTAAATATATAAAGAGAATCAACACAGTAAAGGAGGGGGCTATATTTAAAAGAAGAAAAACTACCACAATAAGAGGACATAGTCTTAAATTAGAGGGGCAAAGGTTTAAAAATAATATCAGGAAGTATTACTTGTCACGTTCTGTTACAGTCTGCGGATCATTTCTGGCCATGGCTTCTAGTATCCAGTACTCTTTTTACAATTCTTGTTTAGTTTTTCTTGTTTTTTTCTGGTTTTCTATTCTATGTCTGGTTTTATTTATTCTGGGTTTTCTTGGTTCATGTTTGTTTTTTTGTTGTCACACCATTTCCTTTGCCATTTATCCTTTTTGTTTCAGTGTGTTCCTGCTAGCAGTGGTTTCATTCCTCTGCTCCTTTCTTTG